TTTTGTTCATATTTTATGAAGATTAAAACAATTGCACACCGACGCAGAAGCAACCTAACCCGTCCCCGCCTCCCCCTTTTACAGTAAAATATACAGCAAAAGGAAATGGAATCGGCTTAATGGGGTGGACAAAATATCGTGTAGTTATTTGTGTGCCTCTGATGTTTTCCCGAAGCGCGATTCAAACAGATGCGACGCTTTCCACCATTTCGTAAAAGCAGATTTGAATTTGTGTTTTCTTCCTAGTGTAGGACCGCCATTTTGTCAAAAGAAACCCTCTCCCGGCCAACTCCCCGCCTCCGTCTCCGTTTACAGCAGGGGTCCTGTCAATGGGTTTCTTCTGAGGTAAAACGCAATGACTGCCGTGAAGCAAGACGCAGCAGGAATCCGACCTTAACGTTCAAAGAAGCTAAACTGTGCCAGCACCGTGTCTGTTATGCGCCACATATATAAATAATGACATCACATTTTAAATAACAGATTAGTGCATTTCAAGGTGATCTGGACAAATGAGAGATTTTTTTTGTAATCTGTAGTTTTTATCTGGAAAAAATTATTAACTTTTTTAACACAAAATCCATTATTATGATCTCAGGGCATTATAAAAGTGAGACGGTTTACACACAGCAGAATATCATTTGGCTGATCTTCCTTGTTTGTTAGAAGCTTGTTGTCCAAAGACTTAATCTTTCGAGGACTTAAAGCTTTTAAGTACGCAAGTGATTCTGCATTGATATGTATAGGTAGGTTGTTCCAGGCATCCACAACTCTTTGTGTGAGGAACTATCTCCTGCTTTTCATTCTAAGCGCACAACAGCCTCTTGACTTTCACATGTCAATGACTTTCTTGTGCCACTACGGGTCCCAAAACAGCACTCTGGTGATGGCTCGCAGGATTTAAAATATTTCCATGACTTTTCCCTGTTGTGTCCATGGATTAAGACTAAAAATTCTCAGTTCCACTCCTTCAACCCTATGATCTTATTCAGAATCTACAGTGACACAGGAACCAAAGGATGCAGGTGGAATCTACAGGGAAGAGCATTTAAAACTGAGAATAGGAGGTGCACCTTTGCACAAAGGGTAGTAGGAGTGTGGAAAAAGTCGAACAATTACATTATTGAAGCCAATTCTCTGGCTTCTTTCAGGAAGCAGGTGAACAAGATCTTTGGATCAGTTAGTGAGATAAGAGATAAGATCAGACTTTATTCATCCCGAAGGGAAATTAAGGCGTTACAGAAGCCCAGCACAAGAAAGACAAGACAGACTTCGAACAAAACAGACATCGAGATAGGCTCAAATTTAAAAAAAATAGTAGCTAATTACCAAAGGAGCTTGATAACTCAAATGACCCTCTTCTCATTTTTAATCATTACAGTATGTTCTTACATTGTGATTGTACTCCATTTACATCTATATCCTGTAGTCCAGTTCCCAGTCCTGGTACTGGTGACCCACCCACCTGCTAATTTGTGGTCCGGCCCACCTTAATTACTTAACTATTGAAGCTTAAGTAATCTAAGAAGTTGCTTCATTAAAATGTTTGCATTTTGTTTCTAGTGACAAGCTTGGGATTTTATGTTACACGATACAATGTTCAAAGCTCCAACATGTTTAAGAGCTGGGAACAAACAGTCCGAATTAACCTTATTATTATCAAGTCGATGAAGGATTTGATTGTGTAACTCGGGGAACAGCTGAAAAAAAAACAACAGCTGTGTGGGTCACCATACCAGAATTTGGATCCACCGCGTAGTCTGTCTTAGAAATACAAAGGCCTATCCACCACCACCCTCTACCATAACAAAATGTGCAAACTCCTGAGTATTACTAGAATGTATTTTCACCACAATAATACTGAGCCCTGTGGCTAAATATTAAATTTCGGCATCCTTCAGAACTGTATCCAAGTCGAAGCATTATTTACAGGGCAAAGCTGCCAAACAGTGCAGTGATTTGAGTTGAGCAAGAGTCTATCCCAGCAAGCAACAGGCACAAGGCAGGGTACAGCCTGGACAATACGCCAGTCCAGAGCAGAGCACACACAGAAACAAACATTCACTCTGGGACCGATTTCCCCAGAAGCTAATTCACCCATCAGCCCATCCGTGTGTCTTCGGATTGTGAGACGAAACACGAGGAGAACATGCAAACTCCACACAGACAGCAACCCAGGAATCGCACCCAGGTCCCCGGCGCTGCGAGGCAGCGAAGTCACCATTCTCCCATATTTTACATATTTCAATCAAAATATATGCCCTTGTAAACTCCCCTCGTTACTGCAAAAGAGATTAAGTTCCCTTGATCTGATGGTAATATTCTATTAAGGCTGGAAATTAAAGTGTGGTGGAGCAGTCACTGCAGACAGAGGCAGCGAGAGTAAAATACATTTCTGACACAGTTTCCCAGGGCTGTGGTCCTGCACTACAGCAGAGTCATCTTCCTGTTCTTGGTTCCAACATAAAGTGTTGTTGAGTTGTGGGTTTTTGTCATTTTTAAATGTCCCGCTCACTTATAAAACAAGGTTTGCAGGCAAGAAAGGGAATCCATGTCTCCTTGAATCTTTCTTATTGGCTTTCCTCCAGCAAAACACAACAAACAAATAACAATCCCCCCCCCCCGCTACACACAAAACCTCCTCATTCTTCCCTTCTCCCCCTCAATGGTCCTCACTTCCAAGATCCAACCTGAGGATCCTTAAAAATACAAACAGCTACAGTGGAGCCCACCTGCAAGAAGGCCCTGACTGTGACAACTGCTGTTGTCCTTACCTCCCACATCCCACACTATCCCACTCCTACACCCATATATCCCTATATATCCATCCATATCCATACATCTATATCTCCATCCACATCCCACACTATCCCACTTCCTTATCCATATATATATATATTCATCCATGCATATATGCATATATAGTTCAGGTGGGGAGCTGCGTCAGCATGCGTAGGCTGCAAAGGAACAAGTAATAGGTTTATTCCATGCTGAAAAAAAGAAGAAAGAAAACACAACCGAAACTTTTTTTCAGCATGGAATAAACCTATTACTTGTTCCTTTATATGCATATCCTGTATGCATCCCACATGCATATATCCATACGATATAATTTAAATTTAATTGCTTACACTTACTGTATATAGCGCTTTTCTGGACACTCCACTCAAAGCGCTTTACAGGTAATGGGGATCCCCTCCACCCCCACCAGTGTGCAGCCCCACCTGGATGATGCAACGGCAGCCTTAGTGCCCCAGAACGCTCACCACACGTCAGCTATCACTGGGGAGGAGAACATAATATATATATATATATGCCCTGTCCTGTTTAAAGTTGTTAACAGTCTTCTTCTGATGGCTTCTGATTCTGGTTCTTTCTATCCTCATTCTCTTTGACCAAATGCTGCTTTTGAAACTGTTGACCTTGACATCTTATTTTCTCATCTTGAGATTATGTTGGGAGTTTTTCACTGCTCTTAAGTGGTTCAAGTCTTTACTGATCTGCCAGCACTTTCTCTCTCTTCAGGGTGTCAGTGCTGAAGTTGGACTCGTTAAGTCTGGTGTTCCTCAGGGTTCAATACTTGGCCCCTTACTATTAAGCATTTACATGTTCCCACTTGGTCAGCTATTAAGATCACAGAGTCTAAATGATCAGTTGTACACTGATGATACTCAAATCTATGTCCATACTAAATCTGTGACTGTAGTGTGACTGTGGCCATCTCTGCTCTAATTGCATCTCTGACATAAAAACATGGAAGACTCAAAATTCCCTTAAAGTGTGACAAGACTGAAGTCATGCTTCTAGGCACCTCCCATCAACTTTGTAAAGGCAGTACAGTAACCCTATCTGGGGGTGGCACTGTACTTGAATTTCAATCTAAATTAAACAACCTGGGGGTGATTTTTGATCCAGGCTTGAAAGTTGACCCACCCACCCCCACCCCGTGTGCGTCATATTGTAAAAACATCTTTTTTCCCACCTTAGAAATATCACCAGACTATGTTGTTGCTAACTGTCACTGAAAAGCCGGTCAACACTTTTGCCTTTTCTCAAATTGACTACTGAAACGCTCTACTCACTGGGGGGGGTACCTAAATCCACACCCTTATCCATATAGGCTGGAGTCCTGGCACTGGCTTCCCATCAGGTTTTGTGTCGACTTCAAAATCATGCTCACCCATAAGGCTCTGCATAGCTTGACACCTCAGCACCCCTCTGAGTAACTACCATCCCACTACCCACCTCGCAACCTCTATTCATCAAACTCTCCTGTCCGTCCCCCCAAGCCTGTCTACATTTTATGGGTGACAGGACCCCGAAGCTCTGGAATGATATCCCGAAGGATAGCAGAGACTCCCTTTCCCCGAGCTCCTTCAAATCAAGACTCAAAACCTTCTCCTTCAGAAGGGCTTGGATTTGACTGGTTCTGTGTCTGCTGGCCCTTTGCTTTCCTACTGTATTCCAAACCCTCACTGAAATTGTGCAATTCTGCTCTAAATGTGTACCTTTTTTCTTACTTTGCATAGTCACTTTTAAAGGCGCTATACAAATAATGGATAATTATTATTATTACCCATTCAATTCCACACCGTGCACTGGGAATCCCAGCAGCCACAAGTCCAGGCCAGGACCCAGTGTCACCAGCAGAGGGAGTGTGGTGGCTCTGCACACGGCGCCACAGAGTTTTAGCCAGGACTGGCCTCCCATCTCTTTCTTCCTCTGCGAGAGAGAGGCCTGGCAGGCTGCAGGGACAGAGCGCACAGGGAACGGCTCTGCCAGAATCCTGAGGTTTCCTTGGTGATGGGAATCACCTGTCGTCAGGGAAACCGCTGGGTTAGAGAGCAGCACTGCAGTCTGCACCTGCCACTACACTGCACATCCTCACGGCCGCCCTCCCTCCCTCCCTGGGGACGTAGATTCAGTTCTACTTAATAGATTCCCAAAATCACACGACTCTATTCACTAACACGAATCGAGCTGCCCCACTCCAGCAACGACACCAAGTTGTGAATTTACCCCAGGTGTTTATTCTGCGACCGACCGGGCAGGTCCAAAGGAGGCCGGGGGAGGGGGGGAGGGATCTCCGCAAACAGCCAATGGAAGCTCCGCTGCCACCCAAGTCTGTGTTACTATTGGGCAGTGGTACTTGGAACAGAGCGCGCTTCAGCCAATGGGAGGGTAGGAACTACCCCGACCACGCCCATTTGGCAAGACAAAAAAAAAGTCCCCGGAAGAACAAGCGATCGCTTCAGAGCAACAACCCGGCTGCCGATGAGCTAACCGCAAAACAAACAAATACCTAAAGCAACATCCACTACAGAGGCTTTTAAAGACCTGGTTACAGCGGTGCACGTACCGGTTTGCAGAGTTTTTTTAAAAAAAGGGGTAGAAATTAAACAGAGCCAGCGGCAGCATTGGCCTGTGGTTGCCGATACCGTGCAACCCCGCTCGCAAAGCAGCAGGACGGACGCAGCGGCTGCCGGGCCGTCGGCAGCCCGAGAGCTCCAGGCATGAAGGCGGCGCTGCTACACGTGTCGCTCCCCGCCGCCCTCTGCCTCGCCGTGGCGGCCAGCGGCCTCTTCGACTCGGTGGCGGTGGAGCTCGGCTACGAGCACTACGCGGAGACCCCCGTGCCGGGGCTGCCGGCCTGGCTGGCCATGCCGTGCAACTCGCTGGTCAACGTGGGCTACATCGCGCTGGGGCTCTTCTGGCTGCGGGCGGAGCGGACGAGCGAGGGGGCGGCCTACATGAAGGACGTCTTCGCTTCCATGGCCATCGCCTACGGCCCCGTGCAGTGGGCCCGCCTCGCCACGTTCGCCCGCCTGCCCGCCGTGCTGGACCAGTGGTTCACCCTCCCCATCTTCGCCTGGGTGCCCGTGTGGTGCCGCTACATCACCCACGGGTGGCAGCCGCGCCTCTGCCTGGCGGCGGAGCTGTGCTCCCTGGGCAGCTTCGCCCTGGCGCTGCTCCACGACCGCGGGTTCGAGGCGGCCCTGGGCCTCCACATCGCCCTCGCCGCCGGCCAGGGGCTGCGCGTCCAGCGGCGGCAGGGAGACGCGCTGTCCCGGCGCTACCTGTGCCTGGCCCTGCTGTCGTGCGCCGGGTTCGTGGCGCTGAAGCTGCTCGACCTGCCCCTGGCCCGCTACCGGGGCTTCCGCCGCCTGTCCGGCCACTTCTGGTCCAAAGTGTGCGACGTCCTGCAGTTCCACTACAGTTTCCGCTTCCTGACCCATCTGACCCGAGCCGCAGAGAGACGGGCGGCCAGGGCGGACTGACTCTCTGCGGACCGTCCAGACCCGTCAGCCTCCCCGGAGCACCGCCGAGCTTTAGCGCCGGAGTCCGGTTCTCTCCAATCTCTCCAAGATTTTCTGTCTGGGATGGCCGGCTTTCTTCGTTTTAAACGCCCCCCCGCAATGGAAACATACATTTTAAAGAATATGGGGATTTTTAGAATGCAGTATTCTTATATCCGTTTTAGAGCAGACCTGCAGACCGCTCGAATAAATTGTAGCGTAGTGGTTGAAGTTGTGTGGTACGTCGCTAAGGTCATCGGTCTTTGTTCAGAAATGTTCTGATTTTATTTCCCTGATGAAGGTATACATCTTAAAATACCGTTCAATACGTGAGAAGAGGACGCATGTTACGTAAGTTATTCCTGGGGGACAACAGCGAATCACGGCCGGCCGCCCCTAGCAGGAGTGATAGAAGCACCTCGGTCTCTGCCTCCGCGCGATTGTTTACACCTGTAAAGTTTCCCGCAAACGGCAGACCTATTTCTGCCAACACAAGAGCGGCCTCTTGTGGCCTCATTGTGCCTAGTGTTCTTGTGCCTAGAACCGGTTTCAAAAAGACAGAGGCAGTGACCCAGGGGTGAGCGATCCTGGTCTTGCAGGACACCACTGCAGACACACTGACCAGCCCTGGTCATTTAGGGTCAGTGT